AAGAAAGCTCATAATTAAATTTAAATAACAATTACTTTTTTACGTTTATACCACGATGGAGACGCGCCCTACATTTTTTGTTTTAGGGATATAATAGGATATTTAACACTCCGACTTTTAACATGCTAATATTACTGTTTTTGAAAGCTCATTATAACCACGCTGCATTGATACCGAAATTTGGTGTATTCTATATATCATGTTTTGTTTGTATGTTTTTTTTTAATTTCGCGCAAAGCTACACGAGGGCTATCTGCGCTAGCCGTCCCTAATTTAGCAGTGTAAGACTAGAGGGAAGGCAGCTAGTCATCACCATCCACCGCCAACTCTTGGGCTACTATTTTACCAACGAATAGTGGGATTGACCGTCACATTATAACGCTGAAAGGGCGAGCATGTGTGGTGGGACGGAGATTCGAACCCGCGACCCTCAGATTTCGAGTCGAGTGCCCTAACCACCTGGCCATGCCGGGCCACTATACATCGTGTGTTTGAAACTAAATCGAAGAATTTTAACGATATTAATTCGCTGTTTTATTAATGCATGTGAATAATGAATCTTGCTTAATTTCTTTGCCAACCTTTTTACTCCAAATAATACATTTTTTCATTTTTAATATTTCCGAAAAAGTTATACTAAAACATTGGATATTAGGATCTTCTTGAATTTAATTTAACAGCTATTACAATACAATCTTGTGTAGAGTATAAACAGACTATTGTACATTCCAAGCTGATGACTATGTCTTGCTATACCATCTAAGACTGCCGTAGAATCTGTGGCACATTCTTTCCTATATACTCTTACAGATGTATTTGCCTTTGCTATGTATATAATGCTTTCCAAAGTAATACACACCTTTTCTAATGGTTATATGTTGTGTAGATCACATGAAAGTCATGGTTATATGTTGTGTAGATCACATGAAAGTCATGGTTATATGTTGTGTAGATCACATGAAAGTCATGGTTATATGTTGTGTAGATCACATGAAAGTCATGGTTATATGTTGTGTAGATCACATGAAAGTCATATGACAACTTGTTTCATAGAAGTTTTGAGATAAATTCTAGTGTTTCTCCAACATTCACCATTTTATTTCTGCAGCTGAGATAAACTGGAAAAAGAAAACAGGATCAACTCTGCTTTCAGTTGTACAAAATCTTTCTCTCCCTATCATCACAAAAACTCAAAATAGTGAATGTCGCAAAAGCCTCAAGATTTATCCCAAATATGTTTTCAGTACTGGATGCCTGTAAAAAGTGTGCTGCATGTACGTATATCAAGATGAATAAATTATGTAACAGAGAACAACGGGCCTCAAACTTTCGTGCAAGTGATTTTTAAGTTTTACGAAAAACTAATGAATATGACGTCACAAATCTAAAGAGATTCTTCCATGAGATTATAAACAACTGTTTTCAAATTTATTTATATGTTTCCTTTTTCATTTTACCTTTAAAGATATTGGGTTTTATTTTCAATTTGAAAATGTATTTGAATTTTTTTAATGTTTTCTCTAAGATTTTCATCCCTTTGTTAAAACGTTTAACAATCCTAGTGTTTAATGTGGAATTTTTACGTTAAAATCGGGTTTTAATAAGAGACAACGTTCTTTTCTTTTCAGCCGTTCGAGAAGACAGAATGCCAGGCGGAAGAAATTCTGGTGCTGTGTATAATCTTTATAAAGTAAGTCGGTTGATTCATATATATTTTAAGGAGTTGAAAGATGGCTGTCTTAGGAGGTTAACCTATAAAATGGCTGATTTGGGAAGTTCATCTGTTTATTTTGATAACGTACGACGCCTTGAAGTTAACTCGAAATAAATAAACCCATCTGTAGTAGTAAATTCATTTCCGGAATTATTGTTTTCACATACGTACTTACGATTACCAAGAAAAAGCGATACAACGTTTCGTTTTCTAAGAAAGCCATTTAAACATGTACCTGAATATTTCCTTCATAAAAACCATTAAATGGTTGTTTAGTTATGAGGGTTATAGATAATGACGGTTAAAACTGGAAAAACGCCAGTTTTAATACAGCAAAATAACCTGCGTTTTAAACATAACTCTACATGTAGTTAGCTCACTGCAAAAAAAATGCAGTTGCTTTGCGCAGTTCAAAGAAGAATCAGTTACTCGTGAAACAATCCCAAAAGTAAGTTGTATACTTATACAAACATTTCTATATAAATATGGTACTTTCCCATAATTATCCATGGATAATAAGTTACAGCGAATGCAATGAAAACAAACTCACATTGAAAAACAATTACTGCGTTCTAGGTAGTACGTAGGTATAAGGTCATTTCCGTAACCAGTAGCTCATGGTATAATTAATAACTTTTAAGGTCACGTACGTATTTATCTACCACATATGATACGGGTATTTTCATCGATGTTTTAATTGCAAGCAGTAAACCTAATGAAATAACCATATTTTTTAAAGTAACACTGCAAATGTCTACAGATATGTTTAATATAGTTTATAAGGACTATAGTTATTTTATAAGTATGATTTGATATGAAAACTGAAAGACTGTATGTAAAAAAAAAAAAAAAATGCTTCTTCTACAAATTTTGTCATAAATGCTTTACGATATGTATATATCAGAATGATGGCGTTCTTGGGACCTTAATCAAAAATAGCTCATAATGAAGGGGTCAGTGTTATTGTAACGATTAGTATTGGTAAACTCTATAGTTTAATGTGCAGTGCTTTACTCTGAAAATGTATTTTTATGCAGAATTTTAAGGAAGACTTGCGTGAGATAGCCTCCCAAATAGGAACTGAATGAGAAGTTGTTAGATTTTAAGGAAGACTTGCGTGAGATAGCCTCCCAAATAGGAACTGAATGAGAAGTTGTTAGATTTTAAGGAAGACTTGCGTGAGATAGCCTCCCAAATAGGAACTGAATGAGAAGTTGTTAGATTTTAAGGAAGACTTCCGTGAGATAGCCTCCCAAATAGGAACTGAATGAGAAGTTGTTAGATTTTCCTGACAGTATGTCGCAAAATTCAAATATTGCATTTGTGTTATAGATGGTACTGTCAAGTGCGTGGATCACTAACATGCGCTAACACAATACTCCTGAATGACTCCAGTGGGAAATGTTTCTTGAGTTGTGTGTGTATATATATATAACAAATACAGTTGGTCCTATCTAGAAAATTGTCGAAAGCTCTTAACATATAATAACAATATCATTGTATGTAGATACGAAACCAAAACCTAAAACAGTAATGGATATAAATCTAAAAACAATAAAAAGTAAATCGCCTACAAATGCTTAATAAACGTAATTATATAAAGTTTGTTTGTTGAATCTCGTGCAAAGCTACTCGAGGACTATCTGCTCCAGCCGTCCCCGATTCAGAAGTAATAGATTTGAAGAAAGGCAGCTAGTCAACACTACCTACCGCCAACTTTTGGGCCACTCTTTTACCAAAGAAAAGTGGAATTGGCTGTCCCGTTATAACGCCCCTCCACGGATGAAAGGCAGATTCGATGATAGAACCACCCACAGCTCATGAATCGAGCGCCCTAACCAACAAGTCATACTAGGCCCTAATTATTAAAAAAAGGACAGATGAAACACCGTAGAAGTAGATGTAGTTTTAAATACGTTTATTCTAAAATAAAAGAAAATTAAGTTTTAAATATGAGGGGGGAAAATTAGAAATTTCATAGTATATGTGCTATATACTGGATTAGGGTCCTGCATATCACAATTTATTTTCGAATTCAATCATCCCGAAATATTCGAAACCAATCGAGCTCGACTTGAATCGTCTGTACATATATATACATTATAGAGTATATAGGCTGAATTAAATTTTAAATTAGATACAAAATGGTTTCTTTACTTATGTGCAATTAATAATGAGTATAAAAGTAAATATTTCTAAAAACAAAAGATATAATGTACTTAAACATCTGGAAGAAGAATGGTACAAAAGTGTTCTTATAAGGAAATAGGTTCCAGTATATAGACTAAATTAAAAGCTAAATTATAAAGTTTACCGGAAGTGATGTAGATTCGAAAATATCGAATCGGAGCCCAGCTAACGAATCGAATCGAATCCTCGATCCAGATTCACGATCGAATCGAATCTCGAAGCTTCTTAGGGCTCTATACTGCCCCCCCCCCCAGTGGCACAGCGGTATGTACAACGCTAGAAACCGGGTTTCGATACCCGTGGTGGGTAGAGCAAAGATAGCCCATTGTGTAGCTCTGTGCTTAATTACAAACAAACCCTACACTAGATACTGATGATTCTTGGTTTTCCAACTGTTGATGTGCATACTGTTCTTGTTTAGAGGTTTCTTGCACTAAAGATAAACGCTATTAGTCGCTTAAAGAATGATTACACTACAAAAGTTGTTCTTAAAATTGATACTGTTTAAACAATTTGGCAAGTAAATAATCCTCATTCAATAAGTATTATGTTTTTATTAGCAAAAATTTTCAAATTTCTAAAGTTAGCTTTTCCTATTACCTGGTTTAAATATATATTAAGTGTTTTTTTGTTTTTTTTTATTTTACTTTTCAACGAAAATTAACGAGCTATTAAACACGTTGCCAATATTTTGGACAAAAATATGATATCGTTGAATTTCTTTAAACGTCACATGTACTAAGCATGTCAAATCTACTGCAATACCATATCGATATGCAGACTAACCCTAATTTACTACTTACAGTAATGCTAGTAGCTATTGCAATGAGATATCATCTATTTAAACACTATTTTATTATTTATTCTTGTAATAAGCCTTCTCACTATTCTTGCGGATACTAGCAGAGACCTGCAAAACATTTGCTGTCAAATTAGTATCTTTATTGGAACAGTACTTTAAATACAGGATTTCTAGATTTGCTTGTTGTTGTTTCTTTTTTTAAAGTTAAGCACAAAGCTACACAATGGGCTATCTGTGCTGTACCCAGTCTCTAGCGTTGTAAGTTCGCAGACATACAACTGTGTACTGGGAAGGGGAGATATTTCTAGAATAATACAAAACAAATTATAATTACAGACACCGGAATCTACAAGTCCATTTGTCTTAGGCCTAACATTAGCTAAGCCTTTATAGAGTAATGCCTAGGTTTCGATACCCGTGGTGGGGAGAGCACAAATTGCCCATTTTGTAGCGTTGTGCTTAACCACAAATAAACAGACAAGCCTATATTTGATATGCAATAAGGAGATAAGTTGACACTAACTTGTGTACATTTTTTGCTTTAGGTTAGTTAGAGCTAAAGTTTACTACCAATAAATAAACTTATAATACTGTTCTACGACTTGACGTTAGACCTTTATAAAAACCTTTTAATGTGTTGTTGACAAACTGTCTCTTAAAGTATATTTACATCCGCCTTTGGTTTACATCCGTTCAAAAAGTGCGCGCACATGCGCATTTGGATAGTAAGGTGCACTTGCATTTTCAGGACAGAAAAAAACAACAACAACTGAGTATTATTACAATAGATTATTAATGCTTAGTTAACCCTAAAATTACCAATAATTTATAAATTTCATGTCGCTATCGGTAGTGTCTACAAGAAATGGACCACACGTATAGATATATATATATATAGTGCCGGATTAACCATGAAGCAAATGAGGCAGCTGCCACAGGGCCCCCACGAATATTTTGTAAACATTATTTATGAATATTGTGATATTCGATTTATATATTTATATCTTATATTTGAAAGTTTGTTTTTAATAAAATACGATTTTTTTTCTTATATTCGAAAGGGCCTCCCATAAGGATATTTGCCTCAGGGCCTCCACATACCTTAATCCAGCCCTGTATATATACATGGAAAATTACACTACTTATGGTTCCTAATTACTTTTATTTTTCCATATTGATGCTTAGTATATTACACAACAATATTCAATATTATAAACCTATAAAATCTGATTTAAAATTAGCTGATAAGAGTAATATGACACTAAAAATCTCATATCGAGAAGTTTACCTGAAACTGGTAATTTAATTATATTAGACAGAAATTTTTTGAATGTATACATTTTTAGGTTTAATTTACTACACCACATATTTGTACAATGCGTTAACGACATATACTTTCAACTTTAACCATCACAGTTGTCACATCATATTTTATAATCCCCCGATGGATTTACGGACTTACAACGTTAAAACCCGAGGTTTGATTTCCCGCGTGGTGGACACAGTAGATAGCCCAATGAGGCTTTGCTCTAAAAACAAACAAACAATATTTTATAATATCTATGGGGTTTTGAACCCGTTTTACTTCATCATATGGTCACCTAAATTAATTTAGTAATTTGAATAATGTTATGGTGAAAAAGAAAGGAACTCTTTAACATGTATACGTATAATATTTTATACTGTTCTTTACACACAAAATGTTGGCACTTTTCACCTCTACCCCTGCATTTTTTCTCAACTTCTCAAGGCAGAACTTGCAACGACCACTTTTTTGTAATGCTAGTCACGGATTTTGCAGTAGACTTCGGATTTTATTTACTTGACCACCATCCTTTTTAGTTTTGTCATTATCACAACAAGTCCAAATTTCGATGCCATGATATTCAGATTTGCTTGGAATACATTGTCTGAAGAAGCACCTGCCTCGGAACGTGACTAGTTGTTCATCAGTGCATTGACACGTTTGCTGTTGATACATAAC